GTCACTTTGCCTATACGTCTACATAGATATACTTCTGATGGATATCTATGAAGTACGGGTACAAATGCATGCATGGGTATATGCTTGCCTGTATTGTATGTACGTATGTATGCACGCATGCCTCACGTAGGCAGGGATGTATGTATCTATGTTTGTATGTTTGTGTGTATGTTTGCACGTATGTATGCATGCATGAAAACTGGAAACTGGATGACTGACTGAATGCCTGAATGAATGCATGAGCTAAGGATTTCAAGAGCTACTGTATATATATTTATATTATATACATATGTGCTAGTGAAACCAACGATGTTAAGTAGTAAATACTCTATCATATATGTGTTTGTCGGAAACACAGGACTGTCGCTCCCGAAATCTGCAGCAGCCCAGCAGGCGTCCAATGATTGGCAACCCAACATTCTCACATCGAAACATCGACTTCTAAAAAGCTGCGCTGTGCGTAGACGCACTATGCAGGCTCGATCACACACAGACCCCAGTCAGCCTCGAATGACTTAGCCCTCAAGATCCTCACTGGTGATGGCCTCCCAGGCCCTGTGGGCGTGGTTCCGGAGATCAACCACTTCCTGGAGGCCGCTTTTGGCATCCATGTCCAAGCCATCCAGGTAGATCTTGGTTACCTGGGATAAGCTGGGAATGGGAAGGTTTGGAATTGGAGAGCTCAGGTCATGCGTGTCACGGTACTTCAAAATGGAGCTACTGATGGTCTAAACGGGTATGCGCTTCGTGCTCGCTAGCTAAGCTGCGAGAACATTTGCAGCGGCCAGGCAAATGCTCATGCTTTCATTCCATGTCTGCTTCGGCAAGCTAAAGTAGGCAACTTCCCGATCATAGTGCACCGACTTGACGCCAACAGCAGCCCGCCCCCAATACATGTTGAACACGAAGTTTCCCTCGAACTGCTGCCTCTCTTTCATGAGAGCCTGCTTCGCCTCCGCGAAAAGCATACCCTTAAAGCCTCTGGCGAAATCAATCATCTCAGCCACCAGCCTCCCATCGATTGCGCCATCCATCTTGACATCGGCGTCAGCTGCCTTGGCCTTGAACTTTGCTGCCGCTTTGGGTGCGTTTGGGGCCTCTTTGCGCTTGACAGCCCCGACCTTGGGCTCATCCTCGGCGACAGCCGGGGCATCATCATTACCCTGCTCGGGCATAGCAGCAGCATTCCTGCCTCGGCCTCGGCCTCTGCCTCTACCCTTCGTCGATGCCTTGGGGGCCGCTTTGACCTTGGGATTTCCAGCCTTGGCCTTGGCCTTCGCTTTTGCTTTGCTCTTAGCCTTAGCTTTTGCCTTAGCCTTAGCTTTGATTTTGGGGGTTTCCTTTTCCTCCTCCTCTTCCTCCATCTCCTGTTCCCCCTCTTCATCCGCCTCGTGTTCCTCCTCTTCCTCCGCCTGCTGTCCCTCCTCCCACTCTACTCCCCCGGCTGGCTCCGCATATTGAGTCGCTCGATCATCCTCGGCTGGGCCCAGGGCAATCGGGGCATCAGCCACCACAGCCGGCTCGGGCTTCTTCGCCGGCTGTCTTCGACCGAGCTGGTCTCTGCGGGTGAGCACCTGACTGCTCGATGATATACGTAGGTATATATATATATATATATATTCAACTATATGTACATATATATATATATATATCACAAACATATGTATCCATGCAGTATGCGGGTATATATTATATAAATACATACATGTACACATACTGTATTTTCTTGTACAATAACATACCTATATTTCTATATATATATATATATAAGCTGTATGTATATATATAATGTATGTTTGTGTGTATGTATATATATATATATATATGACATACATGCATACATACATACATACATGCATACGTATATGCATACATACATACATACATACAT